TATATATATATATACACACACACACACACACACACACACACACACACACACACACAATTAAGACATATCTGGAATTGCTTTCTCAAAAGCCATAATAAATTCCACTTGGCTCTTTCAAATAAAACTGGAAGGAACTTTGACTATCTACATGCAGATCTGGTCACCCCATCTCCAAAAAGATACATTAGAAATGGAAAAGTTACAGAGAAGGGCAACAAAAATGATTAGGGGTATGGAACAGCTTCCGTATGAGGAGAGATTAAAAACCCTTTTCAGCTTGGAAAAGAGACAACTAAGAGGGGATGTGATAGAGGTCTATAAAATCTTGACTGGTGTGGAGAAAGTGAATAAGGAAGTGTTATTTACCCCTTCACATAACACAAAAACAAGGACTCACCCAATGAAACTAATAGCCATCAGGTTTAAAATAAATAAAAGGAAGTACTTCTTCACACAATGCACAATGCAAACCTGTGGAACTCATTGTCAGGGGATGTTGTGAAGACCAAAATATAACAGGATTCAAAAAAGAATTAGATAAGTTCATAGAGGACAGGTCCATTAATGGCTATTAGCCAGAATGGTCAAGGATTCAACAGCCTGCTCTGAGTGTCTCTAGCCTCTTTTTGCCAGATGCTGGGTGTGGACGACAGGATGGATTGCCTGATGATTGCTGACATTGGCCACTGTGGGAAGACGGGATACTGGTCTAGATGGACCATCGATCAGACCCAGTATGGCCATTCTTACATTATAATAACTTCTTGTTTGGTAATGGAGTGGAAATGAGGGAAAGAGAGAGGTCCTACATTTTTGGCCTTTGGCACCCATAGCTAAAGAGGCCCAGCTTGGGTCTCCCCTTTCCCAGTACATCATAGATGTTAGAGATGAAAAATATCTATTGTATTAGCTCATCTAGTCCCTTAGGAACATAAGAATGGCCATACTCGGTCAGACCAAAGGTCTATCTAGCCAAGGATACTGTCTTCAAAAGTGGCCGGTGCCAATGCTTCAGAGGGAGTGAACAGAACAGTGCAATGTATCGAGTGATCCATCCCCTGTCCTCCAATCCCAGCTTCCTCACAAAGCTGGGTATAATCAATCCCCAGCTAGAAGATGTGTCAGATATTAAACTGAGACCAGCAAACTATCCATTGACAAACAGGTGAACAATTAGGCCCAACGCTTTTGTTGCCTTTCTTGCTATGGAGCAGAGAAACTCACTTTGTTCGGCATTTCTGAACCTCATTGATCTTACAGTCTGTTACGTTCTGTGCTCTGCATGATAAGGCTCCCAATACAGCTGTATCTAATTCATGGCTGCTACAGAGCACCATCACTTCCAGCTATACTGCACACCACTATAAACACCCTCCTTATAAAAATCTAGTTCACTGGAACGCTCAAAGCTGCTAGCTGCCAGGGAATGCTCTTTAATGAGGGTAAAGAGTACTTGAACACATCTATGACTTGGCAACTCTTCCTGCTTTTTATAAGCTACTATACACTTCAGAGAGAAAGTATCTTAGAGGCTACTTTTTAATGGAACAAGTTTACTTAAGAGCTGAGTCGATCTGGTGCCAGTAGTTCTGTTTTGTTCTAGCTTAATATTAGCCTTGTCAAAGTTCTTATATAGTCTCCTGGGTGTTTCTGTATTACTTACCATATAAAGATGTATTTGGGAGCCAAGAATTCTGGCTGCAGAATATGTTATAGTGGGCTCATTATATGTTCCTTTTTTTTAAAAGTATATCAGAAGTGGTCTCATATTAAAGATCCATGGAATAAGGATGAGATTTTCTTTCCCTGTCTACTTTTCCCTGAGCTCATGCTGCAGACTTCAGATCCAGATATCAAACTAACCAGAGTTCGAGGATTGTTTTGGATCCAAGGTCTTGGTTTGGCTCATTATAAAGATAGGGGCAATTAGTGAATTTCAGATGTGGTTTTGGATTTTGAAAATCCCTAGGCTTTGGGGGTGATCAGCCTTGGGGTTTTGGTAACAACCAGACTAAAAGATTCCTTACTCATTTTGCTGATGGAAGTCTTAATTCAAATAGAGCTTTCCAAGACATACACAGCACATCTCATTAAACCTCTGTTCAAAGCAAATGCATTTCATGCATAATCAGTGCTTACATCCTGATGGGCATTATAACAAAACAAAAGAGAAATGGAGAGAGACATATTTGCACATCAGAGGGCATATGGCCCATCTGTTATAGAGACTTGGGAGCAGATCCTGGTCCCTGCATTGGCAGCACAAAGGGAGGAGAGTGTTTCCCTAATGGAACAGCTGAGGGTTCCCTAGTGTGGGGAAAACCCTGGGTGCCATATAACTGGCACAGGAGACAAGCTGGAAGATGGGTGAGTGTGTTCTAAGTTAATGGCCCCAAATGGCCTCAGTTTTAGGGGAGTGTAAAGGTGGCATAAAGCCATCTTTGGCTGCTCTCTTCCCCTTTCAGCTCCGCTGCTCAGCATAGCTGAGGATTTTAGTAACATTCATTAGCTGGGAAGCTACTGTATGTAGCCAAATACTGTATCTACAGCCTAATAGTAAAGATACTTATTGAAGTACATCCAGTCTCCATTTATAAGTTCTGTTAGTTGAGAGAGGGGTTTTGGTCAGCCCACTTACCTGTGAATAAGCCTCCAGGTTCTGAACTCTCAAGAACCATTCATAAAAAATCAGGACTTTGTAGGTTTGTAACTGAATGAGAAATATTGTTTTATGTGCGCATGAATGAGATACTGAAATTATTGCCAGATGTAGTCTTACTACTGTGTGTTCACCTGAATGCCCAATATTTTTTTTTGAGTTTTTCTAACTGTCAAGTAACAATAGGCAGGGCTATTTTGCAGATCTGATCTGATCTGTCTGTCTATCCTGCTGTCATTCTCTCTCTACTTTACAATAATATATAGTATGTTATTGTGTTGACTGTTCTAGATTTCTCGCAAGGCTGATTTCTAATAGACAGACTTTTTCTATTATGGCACAAATAAATAAATTGTGTGTGTGTGTGTACACACACACACTCTTTATTTTTGTCATAATAGAAAAGGTCTGTCATTCTAAAAATC